ATTCTACATTTGTAGGATACATTACATTGTATTATACAAACTGTGAATGTATTGCTAACTACAGGTTTAAAATAAATGCACTTGTCTACAGTTTAGACTCACAACGATCAGCTGCAGGTATATTAGCGACAGATAAAGAGGGACGGCTGCAATTTTTACCAAGAATGTGTAAAAATTCCCCTTTCAAACTAAGAGCAAAGATATTTCCCACGAGCAATAAATAATAATAATAATAATAGTACAGCAGCTGCCAAACATAATTGGATTACAAACCTGAGTCCAGCTTAAGTGTGGGAAACCAGTAAGTGTAGTTTTAACTATTCACTTTTATCATATGGATCTACAGTTTTTACTTATTTTCTGTCATGTATCACATGTTCCAGAGCTGCTCAGAATTCAAATGATGAGGTCAGTATATGCACAAATAATCCCGCTAAGACAAAAACTCGGGATTCAGAATGCTCTAAACCCTCAGTCTCCCCTAGTTTTTCTAATCTTGGTTCTTTATGATGTCATAGGGAGCAGATTTCCCTACTGGCTATGGAGGTTCTCAGTCATCCAGGTCATGGTGATCTAAGGAGCTTGGAAAGAAAAGTGACTGGACTTCTTTAATCAGGTATCTGAGGCCTGGTGGGAGTCAAGAAGGTCGTTGACCCACTTTTGATCATGTCCCTAATATGATATCCCTAATATCGTCATCTCAGGTACAGAAGTCCCATGCACCTGCTGTTCAAAAGGGCCTGTTTGTGAGGGACAGCCAATCAGAAGAAAACTTGCTTAAAGGGGAGGAGCTAAAAAAGCTCACTTCAGAAGAGGAACTGAAAGGCTACAAATAATAAGGATCATTTTGAGCTGTGAATGAGGAGAAATGAGGAGAATACACCTGTTAAAAAACAGATGTTAAAATATTAAACAGAATAAAATCTGTATCTGTGCAAAGTGTGCAAACACACACACACGCACAGTACACAGTGGAGTGGCACACGTGTTCTGTGTATAAATATTTACAGTAGCTTCTTCTTTCTGCAGGTCGGTCTCTGTCTCCAGAGACTGAGACTGAGTGTGTTTGCGTGTGTGTTCGTGTTATAAATGTTTGTGCGTTCCCTGAAAGACGACAACCCAGTGGCAGCAAGCAGTGCCAACAAAACACAGGAGAACTGTGTGTGAGTGTGGGAGTGTGTGTGTGTGTCAACTCCAGCCTCAAAGACGAATTTAAAGCTTCGCCTTGTCTAATCCAACCCTCTCCTCTTCCTGTTTTGTGCAGAGTGCTCTGAGTCGGCTGTCAGTCCTCTTTATCTCTGCTCCCACACACACAATCAGCACTGGGCTGTGTGTGTGTGTTAGATTCAGGGCTATACTGTGAAACATCCAAGAATACTTTAAATGCTTTTAGTTTATTTCCACCAACACACTTTGTTCGTCTTCACCTCAATAATAGATGCCCTCACCGGATCTGTATAATTCATGGACTGCTGTCTGTAATGGAAGAGAGCAGTTGAAGACAGGAAGGTTCAGCCTTCCTCCTCCTCTTCATTGCTGCTGCTCACCGAGCCCTTGGGATCAATGCATTTATCAATAAACAGATTGAGGTCGGTGAACTCTGTGTTAAAGTCTGTCTCTAAAATTATCTGCATTTTATAACTGGTCAATTCAGACTTTTATTCTGAGTGCCCTCTATGGGTTATATACCAGTACCAAAGACACTGAATAAAAATGTCAGCCATCTACCAGAATGACCTCCAAACATTGTCTTTTCTTGAAGTCTAGTTTCGGCTGTTTTGCTGAATCAAAAGTTTTGCTGACGCTGAAGAGGTACATTTCAGGTATGTCCTGTTACATAATGTGTGGACTACATTGCCGAACTTGCTAGCAGCAGAAGGTTTATGTTTCACATCATCCTTTAATCGACTGGAACAAAATGAAACAAACAAAATGGAAAGAAGAGCCATGTTGACACCTACCAAGGGCTGGGCGATATGGCCTAAAATCCATATTGCGGTTAAATTTTAAGCGTGTGCGGTAACGATATACATCGCGATATATTCTTTTCTTCTGTATACCGTATCTTCTGCACTATAAGGCGCACTTAAAATCCTATAATCTGGTGCGCCTTATGTATGAATTCTGGTTGTGCTTACTGACCTCGAACTGATTTTATGTGGTACACAGCGCTCAAAAATCTGTCAAAAAATGCTTAAGTATGACTTTCGTAAGCTACGAAGCCACACCGCTTGATAGATTGTCGGAACATTACGGCTACCGTAGTCAGGAGCCTCGCAGAGTAATCTGGGTCCAAAACTCTGTCCTCAACACTCCCAAAGTCAAACGAACACTGCGGCATCACTGAGAGTTAAAAACTGTCTAAATACTTTCATCTTTAATAAAATGAGCAGAGTCCTGCTTTATCAGGTGTAACAATCAAGTTTAACATCAGGCTTCCATGGAAACAGAATTTATCCATGGAAACAGAATTTAGAAGCTAGCAGGAAGTTAGCTCGCTAGTTTCCACCCAAACATCATATAGCATGTTCTGACTGAGAGATATATGAAAAATTAAAACGTACAGCTCTGCCATCGCTTCCAACATAAATGAAGACAGAAAACTACACAGCAGTGACTTTTATAGAGTTGCTGAAGTTGGACTAGCTGGTATATAATGATGTGCTATGTGATCGCTAGCGACACAGCTATGTTAGCATAACATTAACGCAGTGAAGCTGGAGGATGAATGCTAACTTTTTTCCACTTGATAAAAGTTAACGCAAGGGTTCCTGATGGCTAGGGACAAATCGCATGGCAGGATGCTGTAAATGGATCAAATTTCAGTCAGGAGAACAACTGAGATAATCCATCCACAATACGAGGTTAGTCATTAATATACTGCAACAACAAGGGAATAGAGCAGCTGCGAGAGAATTTGACATTAATGAATCAATGGTACGGAAGTGGAAGAAGCGCAGTTTTTGGCTTTCCTCATATTTCAAAACGTACTTCATCTATTTGCTATTACTGTCGCCCGGCATAATTTGCAGATGATATTGCTTGCAGCCGCTGCAATGCTTTCGACCAAAACAGGCACAGCTTGATGACATCATCAACATGCGCTATCGCGGTAGAGCGGTATAGTCAAAATCTCTACCGTTGGCCAAATTCATATCGTTTCTACCGTATACCATTTATACCGCCCACCCCCACACCTACTACTACTGTATTTACCATTAAACACCTTTCAGTTGCTTATTTGCAAAGAATCGCCACAACAGATGGGATTACACAGCTCTCACAGTAATTTGTGTCTCCTCCTGCTCTAAAACTGATGATCTTTTTAGGTGAATATGTTAACCACAACTCTATGGAGCCACATAACGGTACTGTAATACAGTTCATAGGTTTATAAGGCGACACCGTCCCGGATGGTCAAGATTGGCATGCAATAAATGAGAAGTCAATCAAATGTCTTTGGATTAGGAAAAACAGCTAAATGTGCATTTAATTTCTTCTCTGCAATAATCTGATCAATTGTTTTTGCATTCAAAAAGACAGGCATGATGGACTAACAAGTGTCTAACAACAGTTTAGTCTTTGCCATCATAAAGCAGGATTCTCACTATGACAAACACTCGGAATAACGCTTTTTGGAACAAGAAAGCGGATGGTTTGAGGAAAGAGTAGAGTACAGGAAGTCATCTGGAATGACCACAGGTTATAGTCCACAACTATCAGCCAGCTATCAGTCACCTGTAACACAGTCCTGAGAGCCCAGAAAAGACCATTTAATAAACATTCACACCTCAATCTAAGTAACCTTAATGATTCGTGGGATTACAGGGTGGGGCAACAACTCACAAACATCCTCTGACGTGTCCTAGAGTGTCTGGGCCACCGTCAAGGCGACAGTCCTTGGGATAGGGAATTGAGTTCGAAAATGTGACCTTATTTCCAGGATACAACCACAAAGGATTGTAGGTAAAAGTGGCTAGCGTGCACGGGCTATTACAAGACAACAGTCACACAGAGATAAACAGGGGGCAAATAAAATGCAAGTAGGGATTAAAACAGCAGAATGAATGGTTACCGGTGCTGGAAATGCTAGCGCTTGATGCAGTGTTTTGATTTTGCTGCTGCTCGTACCTACAATGGAACGCGCACATGTCACGTGGTCTGTCGATCTCTATACCCTTGAGCTTTCAGAACTAAAAAGAAACATCTTTAAAACTTAACGAAGTCCAGATGCCTTCAACTCCAGCACTTTAGACCACCAGGATTTGGATGACTGAAAACATCCAGACATGTTTTCCTGTATTTTAATTTTATCATTAATTATTTAAAATAGTGTAAAACTTCCCAAAATGAACTAAATCTATAAAGAGATTGTAAAGAAACAACTTCTATGACTTTATATCCTTTGTTGTGTTGACAAGATATCCTGTTCAAGTCACACTAGGCCTGGACTGTGCTGTCGTGCAATACCAAATTTGACCAGAAGACAGTGCAGTGAGTCAGTGTTTATTTTGTTTTTTATTTTATTTTATTTTGTTTTCGGCATCTTCTTCCCGCCCAATGGTGGCATTTGTCTCTGCCCATTCTGCCATTCAACAAAAGCCTTTATTGAGAATAATTTAACCCTCATCCTCCATCTTTCCTGTGCTAATGTGCTTGTTTTAGCCTAACCATAGCACTGTAGCTAGCCACCAGCTAGCACACTACTATATATAAACTACCCAATTTCACTAACTTTCCAAACGTTGCTGCTATTTAGTTTTCTGTCTTTCTTTACACCCAACATTATAGAAATGATGTGTTTTGTTTTAGTGCTAAGTTCTATCTCGTACATCCTCTCTTTCATTGATGTCTGGATGTTAAACTTTAACACTGACCATTTTATTGGAGCTAAAAGTACCTGGACCATTTTTAGCTATTAGTGGTGTCTGAGTGTTTGTTTACTTTTGGGAAGTGAAGGAACCTTTGGACCTGGAAATATCCAGTGTGAAAACGAATTTTCCCGAAACACTGAGGTAAGCTGATGTTATGGAGCAGTATTATTAAATTTCAGTGTCTGTGTTCACCTTAAGTATCCTGAGCCCATTATTCAATTATTTTTATATATATATATATTTTTAAATAACTTTACCAAGTGTAGGGAGTAATAACAGCAAAAGTGTGAGATGGAAGTCATGTTCGGTTAAACAACAGCTTACTGTGGCAAAGTGAAACTCTTGAGTGCACATCCAAAGGGGAGATGTCACCGCTGTAAGTCAAGGAAAACAAGCCATTTGTCTCCGCGTCCTGCTGTGCAGAGCAGTCTCTCCTCCACCACAAGGTTTCCACTGACCTTATAAACACCAAGTGTGGACATTCTCTGCATGATGCAGCGAAAAAAGCCACAAACTGAGAGCCTCAGAGGCACACAGTTAGCAGTGGCACCGGTGAAAAAGACTAGTCGAGCTTTAAAAACCATGTTGAGAAACACATCTATTTCTTCTACAGTTATTAGATGGTTTTAGAGGTTGGCCGGATTGATCCAAACATCGATACCAACAATGGTATTGGTACTGAATCGATATGGTTATAAATAAATTTAGGTGAAAAGAGGGTTTGGCTCAACTTAAAAGTGACCCTTAAAAGTTCCCTTATCATCAGTCATGCTTTTCTTTCTTCCTTTTATTTGATTCCACTGAAATTTAGAATTCATTGTGAACTCTGCATGGCTCCTGCTTAAGTAGCTGATTTGCTGAGAACTTACTCCATGTGACTGGGGCTATTTAGCTGTTCCACACCTTTAAATTTCATATCCACAGGCGACCACCTTTTAAGCAGTAGCTCCTAAAGTTTGGAACAGCTGTTTTCCATCTGATAGGTTGGCCATAACACTGGTTTTGCTTTTAATTCCGCGATGAAGGAGAATCTATGTTGTAAAGACATAAACTTCACATGATCTCTAAAAACTTCAGGCCATCTGAGCACCCAAGTCTGAGGGGTTTTCTGGGAATGGTGCTATTTTGTCTGTTTTGATATCTTATCTTTAAAATAATCTTCTCTAGAGCAGGTTAGGTCTGCAGTTTCAGAAGTGTGCCTGAGAACTCAGGCTTAAACCTGAAGTCTGAGTGCAGGTTTCAATTCAATTCAATTCAATTTTATTTATATAGCGCCAAATCACAACAGCAGTCGCCTCAAGGCGCTTTATATTGTAGACCCAACAATAATATGTACAGAGAAAAACCCAACAATCCAGGCTTCTGGATTTTTTTTGGAAGAATTCTATAACATTACAAGACTGGTAAAATTGGGAGTTATTGTCTTCACGTTCTCAAGAAAATACCACAACCTGAACTGGGCTTCTTTGGAGCAAAGTGCAATAAAACAGATGGATGTCAGCAGGTAAAACATGTCTGGCTCTCACCCACCTGAAGAAGCAGCTCCCCCTCGGGTATCTGGATCTCTGCAGCTCCCGTCGTCTTGCTGGCATTGTTGTGATCGCTGCTCTTGTTCGTGCCACTGGATAGTCGGTTCTTCAATGCCACTGCAGAAACAAAGGGGACAAGTTAGTGATGACCAGCAAAGGTCCGGGTAAACCAGGTCGAGTAATTTAGGAACAAAAATTGCGTTTAAATTTATCCTTTGCAGCTGCATCCCGTAGTGAAGAAGCCGGAGGGTTTTCAGGAGCTTTGTTTTAAGATATTTTTACAGGAAGGCCAGTGGGAATAACAGCTTTACAGAAAGAGACAGAATGACAGAGGGGGATTTCAGGACACAGCATAGAGGGAGTAACACCTTAAATGAAGGTGTGAAGAGGGAGGGAGCAACACCTTAAGGAAAGACTGTTTTTACACATGAACTTTGGATCATTTTGGGAGAATCAGGCTGGGATAGTGCTTAGTGTGTCATAACACAGTTGTACTTCCTCAGATGCAGCACAGAGCAGGAAAATGTCTGCTTCAAAGACATTCTCAGAACTGCAAATAGTGTGTGAACTTTACATG